CCAAGTAACTGAGGAATGCCAAGGCTACAGAAGGTGAGATTTTCCCCCAGAATGGACAGAGAGAATGCCTTCCCCTAGAGCCGGTGCCCTGAATTCAGACTTTCTAATCTCCTAAACTGTGAGAAAATAAATTTCTATTTGATAAATTCACCCACTTGTGGTATTTCTGTTATAGCAGCACTAACAAACTAAAACAATGTTGTTGAGTTTTTCTGTATCCTTGCTGATTTTGTCTAGTTATCCTATCAGTTGTTGAGAGAGGGGTGTTGAAATCTCCAACTATAATTATGAATTTATCTTTTCCCTTTCAGTTCTATCGGTTTTCATTTCATATGTCCTGCAGCTCTGTTGTTTAAGTTTGCTGTTTTCTTTTTCCTGCCTTCCTGTGGGTTCCTTGAATATATTTTAGAGTTCTATTTTGATTTATCTATACTGATTTTGAGTATTTCTCTTTACATATCTTTTTTAGTGGTTGCTGTATTACATGATATATACATAGCTTATCACAGTCTACTAGTGTAGACATATTATCAGTTCATGTGAAGTGGATCTTACCTCCTTTCATTTACCTCCCCTTACTCTCCCTGTATAATTGTTTTAACTATTTTTCTACATACATTTAGAACCACTTAAGACAGTTTTATAATTTTTGCTTCAGCCACCTAACATAATTTAGAAACTCAAGAAGGAAAGCGTATTGTGTTTACTTATATTTTTGATTATTGTGTTTTTCCTCCTTCTTGATGTTCCAAGATTCCTTTTATCATTACCTTTTTGTTTAGAAATCTTCTGTGACCATTCTGTTAGGCCAGGTCTGCTGGTGATAAATTGTTAAGTTTTCCTTCATCTGAAAATGTCTTGATTTTCCCTTTATTCCTAAAGGATATTTCTGCTAAGCAATTCTTGGTTGACAGTTCTTTTCTTTCACCACTTGAAAAATGTTGTACCACTTCCTTCTGGCTTCCATTGTTTCGGATGAGAAATCTCCTGTCATTCTAATTGTTTTTCTCATATAAGTAAGGTTCTTTTCTTTCACCACTTTCAATATTTTTTCTTTTCCTTTAGTTTCCAGATGTTTGAATACGATGTATATTAGTGCGGATTTCTTTGGGTTTATCCTGTTTGGGGTTTGCTCAGCTTCTTGATCTGAAGGTTTATGTCTTATGCCAAATGTGGGATGTTTTCAGCTATTATGTATTCAGCCCCACCCTCCTTTTCCTCTCCTTCTGGGACTCCAATTACAGGAATGTTAGATCTTTTGTTACAGTCCTACAGGCCCCTGATACTCTGTTCATTCTTTAATCTGTTGTTTTCTTTGATATTCTAATTAGGTAATTCTATTCTCTCTTCCAGTTCCCTGATTCATTCTTCTTGTGTTGAATCTGTCCATTGAATTTCAGTTTTTATATTTTTCAGTTCTAAAATTGCCATTTGGTTCTTCTTTATATCTCTTGTTTCTTCACTTAGACTTTGTATGGTTTTCATTTGTTTCAACATTAGCAGTTCTGCCTTCTCTCCACCTTTTACAATCTTATGTTTTGTATATAATATCCAGAATTTTTAGTTGTACTTAGCAGGAGTAAGAGGGAACAGTACATCTGTTCCGTCTAACCAAAAGCAAAAGTCCTATGCAACCTTATTTCATGATATACTTACAGAATCTTCTGTTTCTTTGAATAGTTAGTGGTATTTTAACCAGTCATAAAGATGCTTCTTGCCTGAGAAGCATAGCTGGTTTCAGAACTAGCACAGTCCCTGGTACTTTAGGTGTTCAGTAAGTGTTTACTGAATGAATATCTATCAACTAATTAGAATAGTTGCTGCAAATATCCCAAATTATAAATAAGTTTGAAATTGATATTAAAAGATGATTCAATAATTAGGTTTGGATTTCTATGCAATTAAGTAGTTGGAGGATATGGATCCAGTGTTTCATGACTTAAATGAACCAAGGAAAACTATAATGGATAGTATCTTACCTGGAACATATGAATGAATGATGATAGTCACAGCAGTATCTGAAAAATTGTGACCCTCAGTTAATTCTTGGTATTTTTCCAGGCAGTTTATTTATTAAATATATTACTTATAATGCTACAAAATGAAACAGGAATAAAAAGTATTCTTGTTAACTTTTCAGGTGTTTATGGAGCACTGGTAGTTCAGTGGTAGAATTCTCACCTTCCATGCAGGAGACCCAGGTTCTATTGCTAGCCAGTGCACCTCAAGCGCAGCCACTATCCATCTGTCATTGAAGTCTGTGTGTTGCTATGATGCTGAACAGGTTTCAGCAGAGCTTACAGACTAAGATAGACCAGAAGGACAGGGCTGGCAGTCAACTTTTGAAAATCAGCCAGTGAAAACCCTATGGATCACAACAGTCCAATCCTGTTGTGTATGGGGTCGCCATGAGTCAGGGGACAACTCAGTGGCAGCTAACAACAAGAGTTGCCTAAATGCTGGGCTAACATAAAACCTCTACTGCATTGTTTGTTCTGTGTTAACTTTCAGCAGCAGATGTAAAAGGAGTTTAGTGGAAAAGTGGTTTATATTCCTAAAACCAAAGGAATATACTACTAAACCAAAGATTCTCTAAAGTATAGACAATTACACTTTTTATTAAACATTATTTCAAAAACTATAGGCTATAACATCGGGACTGAGACTAGGATAGTAAACAGAAAAGAATTGGTGCTTTCCACTGCATATGGAAAAAGTGACTTTTCAAAAATGCCAGGAGTTTTCAAGAAATTACAGGATAAGGAAAAAAAAGATAGAGGAAAATGTAAACAGGGAGAAGGTATTAATGTGATTAGGGATCACATTGCTGTGTGTGTTAATCAAAATTAGAATGCTGATTTTCTTTCCTTTTTTTTTTTTCTTTTTTTTTTCCATGATGATGGCATGGACTTTGCCCTAAGCTTAAGTTTGTAGTTGGGTTCAACTCCTATAAGCTTGATGCTTTTCAGAGTCATTTTAAGTAATACACAGTGAGCTAATAAAAATGATGTACACATCCTGTTTCTCTCTTTTGGGCTGGTTATCAGGAAACTCAAAGCTTAATATAATGCTCAATCATAGAATTTCTGTAAGTCTACAGTGTACATGATGAGTATTTCCTTTTACAAGGAGCTTAATTTTCTATTTCGATTTAAACAGCTTTATTATATACAAATCTTTTATATGAGACTGCTTATAAATAATACGATACATTCTTACATCTGAATCAGTTGAGCCTGGGTCCTGCATTTAGGATATGCAGAAATCCCAGTAATTCAGAAAGGCTTTTTACTTCCTCATCTTCCCTTCTTTGTTGCCCCCAGGTTAGATCACAAGTATCATATCTTTAGAACTTTCTGTGATTGCCCTTTTTGAACTGCAGAATGTACAACTACTGTTGTTTCAGAACGGTCTTTTAGAACTCTTGAGTATTTTTCATGAGGATTGTTGATGTATAAGTGGATGATATTTGTTAACAGAACCTTTACATTTGCATAGAGATAGTAAAAAGGATCACTTGGTAGCATAGGTCAAAGTTATATTAGCAACCAGTGGGATAGCTAATTCAAGTACTTATGGAAGGCATCAGAGATCTCTTTGTTGTTGTTAGATGCCATCAAGTCAGTTCTGACTCATAGCGACCCTATGCACAACGGAAGGAAACACTGCCTGGTCCTCTGCCATCCTCATAATTGTTGCTATGCTTGAGCCCACTGTTGCAGCCACTATGTCCATCCATCTCGTTGAGGGTTTTCTCTTTTTTGCCAGCCCTCTACTTTACCAAGCATGATGTCCTTCTCTAGGGACTGATCCCTCCTGATAACATGTCCAAAGTATGTGAGATGTAGTCTCACCATCCTTGCTTCTAAGGAGTATTCTGGCTGTACGTCTTCCAAGACAGATTTGTTCGTTCTTTTGGCAGTCCATGGTATATTCAATATTCTTCGCCAACACCACAATTCAAAGGCCTCAGTTCTTCATCTGTCTTCCGTCTTCATTGTCCAGCTTTCACATGCATATGAGGGGATTGAAAACACCATGGGTTGGGTCAGGTGCACCTTAGTTCTCAAAGTGACATATTTGCTTTTCAACACTTTAAGGAGGTCTTTTGCAGCCGATTTGCCCAATGTAATGCGTCTTTTGATTTCTTGACCGCTGCTTCCTTGGGTGTTGATTGTGGATCTAAGTAAAATGAAATCCTTGACAACTTCAGTCTTTTCTGTTAATC